AGGTGTCTTCACAGTGTGGTAAACTGTAGGATAAAGCAAAGGGAAAAACATTTAAAAATACTTTACTTTAAAAAATAAATTAAACAAATTACAAAAAATATCCAGGCTTGGCTTTAATACAAAATGTGCAAAACAAACAAGATGAATAATCAAATATACGTTACGTTAAGGTGCAAAATAAAATATGGTGCGGAATACCATGAGCTTGTCTGACTAAATCAGCTACCACACAGAGATGTGTGAACGGGTCTGCTCAGTTGAGCACACAGGAGTAATCTGAATCTTTGAGAGTTGTTGTTGTTGTTATAGATTCAGCTACTCGTAACAAGTTCCAAGTAGCACGGGCTATGGTGAGCCCGTAACTTACCTGGCACAGGAATGGGGCAAGTAGCTATGGTGAGCCCGTAGCGGACTTACCTGGCACTGGAGCAGTGCCCTGCGTGTGTCTTTGAGAGCTTGTTAGCCCTATTTATGCAGACTATCGGCCGGCCAGACGGCGCTGATGGCTTCTTTAAACTATGAACCGGCTCCTTAAACTGCTTGTTTGGGAGGGCGTGGCCTCCCAGCGACCCAGGTGCGAGGTGGGGTGACGGGCCATGGTGCAAGAGGGGGACTGGTAGACTGTCTAGACGTCTTGAAGTAGTTGTTGTTGTTGTTCTTGGCTGCAGTTCTTGATTACATAGACGTGAATGAGTAGAGTAGGCGATAATGGAATAGGCCGAATCTCTTCCTAGAGATTTTACCGTGACAATATATATATATTTATATCAGATAAGGAGAAACCCACCTCAGAGCAGAGCTCTGAGGTGGGTTTCTTATTTGTTTATTAAATCAACTTGTATATGTAAACGTGGTTTATAAATAAATAAATAAATAAATACATAAATGTTTATTCAGGTAAGGTACATACATACAAGAGATTTTACAAAGATTGATCGATTTATAGATCAGTTTCCTGTTTTTAAAGTTTCTGTTACTTTTTTTATACATTACATAGTGACACTACAAAAGCCATTGATTGATTGACGAAGATTAAGCTACCCAAGAGGTGGCACGGGCATGAATAGCCCGTAATGTAGTTTTAGGAGTTTTTTCTGTTATGATTTGAGCATACCACCAGCTGGGTATAACCGCAGTAACTCAATTCACCTAACAATACATAAACAAAATTGTCTGATTACTTCTCACTTGCGGTCTAGTGTCGACTAGTGTCTAAGCCTGAGCCTAGGTACTGTGGCTTTGCTCGTTAACGCATTATTATTTTGTATAGATTTTTATTCACAATAATTTCAGAGGTTTGTAAAAGTTCAGAATGTAATTAGTATGGTCCTCCTTTCATTTTTTTCAGTTTTCTTTAAAAATGCGTATCATTGAAGATGTAAAATTAGTAGGGATAACTTTATATTATATGCTTTTTCATTATATACAATACAATACAATACAATACAATACAATACAATACAATACAATTTTATTTAGGTAAGGTACATACATACAATAAATATTTACAAGGATTGTTTAACTTATAGGTATAGCTAGTACATACAATGCCTAAAGCCACTATTACGCAAAGCGTTTCGGGCATGATAAACTTAAATGACAAGCTTAATACTAATTGAGCATAATGAGTAGAATGAAAACAAGAAATGAAAACATAGATGAAAAAGCAGCACAAATACAATTATGTCGACAAACAGCGCTCTTTAAAGAAAAAAAAACAGACATTGGTTGACAATAGAAGGGCAAGGTAGGTTACAGGGAATTTATTAGGTATAGCTTCGCTTTTAACTTAAACTGGTTGAGAGAGGTACAGTCTTTAACATGGTTGGGAAGGTCATTCCACATTCTGGGCCCCTTGATTTGTAGAGCATTTCTAGTTTGATTAAGTCGTACTCTAGGAATATCAAAACTGTATTTATTTCTGGTGTGATGCTCATGGGTTCTGATACAACCTTCTATGAAGCTTTTGAGATCAGGATTGGCATTATAGTTTAGCGTTTTATATATGTATAATACACATGAGAGAATGTGCAGTGACTTAATGTCTAACATATTCAGAGATTTAAGTAGGGGTACCGAGTGGTGTCTGGGGCCAGAATTGGATATTGTCCTAATAGCAGCTTTGTGTTGAGTAATTAGAGGACGTAAGTGATTTTGGGTAGTAGAGCCCCAAGCACAAATACCATAGTTGAGATATGGATAGATAAGGGAGTAATAGAGAGTCACCAGGGCAGGGCGTGGTACATAATATCTGATCTTAGAAAGAATGCCCACAGTTTTTGAAACTTTTTTAGATATGTTTAGAATGTGTCCCTGGAAATTAAGCTTGTGGTCAATGAGAATGCCAAGGAATTTGCCATCTAATTTGTTACAAATTTGGGTATTGTTTATTTTGAGATTTATTTGATTAGAGGATTTATTGCCAAACAGAATATAAAAGGTTTTGTCAATGTTAAGGGTGAGTTTGTTGGCAGTTAGCCACAGATGGACTTTATTTAGCTCAGTATTTGCTGTGGCATTTAGAGCAAGGGGATCAGGACTGGAGTAAATGAAGGTTGTGTCGTCAGCAAATAGAATTGGTTTGAGGTGTTGGGAGGCATTTGGAAGGTCATTAATGTAGATGAGAAAGAGGAGAGGGCCAAGTATGCTGCCCTGGGGAACACCAATGTTGATGGGTAGGGTGGGAGAAATTGTATTATTCACAGAAACATATTGGAGCCTGTCAGTAAGGTAGGATTTGAGGTATTGTAGGGAGTGTCCAGTTTATATATACATTACACGTTAGGCTTATATGGAGGTCACCCCTCAAGGTCAAATTACTGACCCTCCCCAGGATGCAACCCCACACCAAGCTGACTAACTCCTGAGTACTTATTTACTTCTAGGTGGACAGGGGCATTAGGTGCTAGGAAAAGCGACCAACTATCTCTGTCCCACCCGAAATTTACCCGAGTGGCCACGAAGGGGGACAAGAAGCAGGCGGCCTGTCAGTGCCCCCCCCCCCCCTTTGTTCCTGAGGACTTTTTCCAACTGGATTTTGAACAATTAATAATAATAATAATAATAATATTTTATTTAGGAAAAGTATATACATAGATGCAGAGTTACAAACATTCTAATTATTTATAGACAGAGGTAGTACATACAATACCTCAAGCCAGTAATACGCAGAGCGTTTCGGGCAAGTTGGATCCTTCCAAAGGATACCTGATCAACCAGGCTGTGACTCGTACGTCAGGCTGCGAGCAGCCGCGTCCAACAGCCTGGTTGATCAGTCCGGCAACCAGGAGGCCTGGTCGACGACCGGGCCGCGGGGACGCTAAGCCCCGGAAGCACCTCAAGGTAACCTCAAGGCGTGCGATCTGCTGCACGCAGATCTGTGGGAGTGCGATCTGCTGCATGATGCGAGGAGGACGTGTTGCTCCGCATCTCCGTGTGTACACGTGGCTGCTGCAGCTAGATGTTGTGAATTTGTTCTCGACTGTTGCAGTGATACAGTGCCTTTGTGTATCGAGGAAATGGCTGAAGCGGTCGGTGATGGACGATCCTGCACCACTGGGCATGGAGAGTGTGACAGTCGGGATGACAGACAGGATGATACTAGGCTGTATCAAGCAGTAGTGAACAGATATAAACGGCGAAATATTCAAAGACAGTGAGGAGGAAATAACAAAGAGACCCAAAAATGAAGCCATGCTCAGCAGGACGCGGGAGATGCAGACTAATGGAAGGAAACACGTATTGAAATTTGATTTCAATACGTGTTTTAAAATAATAAAGTGTTTTAATGTAATTGTGTTAGGTTATCTGTTCCCATTTTCTTTTGATGCGGTGTGAGTTATTTTATGGGGGATATTCTCGGGTGGTATTGGAAGCCTTTGGATTCTCAATCAATAAAGATTTTCTTTTTATTTCCCAAGCATTTTTCCAAGATTGGAAAAATCTTGATTCCCCTTTGAGTTCCATAATTATTGAGTCCCTTCCTTCCTGGGGAAACAATAATTTGAGACACATTAATTTATGGTTGGGAAGGTGGTGGCAGTGTTTAATGATTTTAATTATTAGTTATAAATTAATAACCCCTATTCTTGTTGTGTCCTCATTTAATATTCAGCTTATATTCGTGGCAGTTTAGTGAGGGGTCATACTGAGCTGTAACAGTGTTAAGCTGGGGTATTGAGTGAAGAAGGGTAGGTAAAGGGTTATGACGATGGTAGCTTTCAGTATCATTACATGATGCCTAGAAACGTTTCGCAAGACACTTGTTACATTTTCAAACACAATTTTTACATACACTGTTTCATGCTTATATTCGTTTTTGGGTGAGGTGACAGGGCACAAATTAATGGGTAAAGTCGGTTTTATATACTCTGTTAAAACTTTTGGGGCGAGGTGATAAAACAGAGAACACAAATTAATGGGTACATTGTGTGTACCTCCACTACAGCACATAGGAAGGGGGCGGCGCTGCTTCTTTCAGGGAATCGCAGAAAACCATCAAATACAGAGGTCTGGCACACTGCTACAGCTTTGTTCCGATCGGCTCGGAGACCCTCGGTTCGTGGGGAAAATGTGCATTGAAGTTCCTGAAGGAATTGGGGGACAAATTGATCAGCGCTACAAAAGATCAGAGAGCAAAAAGTTTCTTGTTCCAGCGCCTCAGTGTTGCGATTCAGAGGGGAAATGCCTGTTGCGTCTTGGGCACGAGTCCAACTTCAGAGGAATTCGAAGAAGTGTTTGACTTGCAACACTGATCGAACCAGTCTGAGACATTTATCAATGTTTCTCATTGTCGTGTTTTTCAAGAGATCCATAACCTTTAAACACTTTTTGTATTAACCCATGTACATCTTGTAACCATTAAATATATATATATGATTATTTTTTATATGCATAGGCTATGAGATTTTGTAATGTTACAAAATTCGGAAAACCATAGTGTTTACTGGGAAATCCATCGTTCTCGGGAATATGATAACTCTGCCATCCACTGAACGTGTCGGTGTCCAAAACGTTTTGTGTGGCTGGAGCCGCCAGTACTGGCCGAGCGGGCGGAGGGGAGACATGTCGCGCCCGTGTGTCTGAATATTCGGTGACTCTTCTGTAAGTCGCAAGAGAAAAGCTTCACCGGAGACAGTGAGACGATCCCAGTACTGTGGTGAGTCACTGTTACAGTGCACTCAACTTTGACCTTACAAGATTACCCTCCCACATTAATCTCTCATATAATATATATATATATATATATATATATATATATATATATATATATATATATATATATATATATATATATATATATATATTTTCACCTAAAAGGGGATGTATATATATATATATTTTTTATACCTTATATGGGTACCACCTCTGGTGCAAGTGTAGGGACCCATAGCCTCGGAGAAGAAAATAGAGAGTACCCAGAGAAGACCTTGTGGATCCTCACTGAACACTTCGATATTTTCTTCTCCTACCACCCCATATTCTTTAGGTATGTGTGTATATATATCTAACTTTATTTTATTTTAAAATTTCATTACACAAAGAGGGTTACAACATTGGTTACATGCAGGGTACAAGGCTACTTGTCACAGGTTGTACAGCTCCTCCAGCTCCTCAGATGGCGGGCAGGAACCATGGATGCAGTGAGCATTTCCTCTCTGGATCGCCACACTAAGGCGCTGAAAGAGAAAACTGGCGGCTCTAGGGTCTCTAGTTGTTTCAATTAGCTTGGACCCCAACTCCTTCAAAAAGCTAGCAGCACTTTTACCCCAGGCACCAAGTGTCTCTGAGGCAATGGGGACAAAATTATAGTGGTGCTCAAGGTCTCTGTATTTACGTGACTTGGCTACTTCCTGGTGATTGACAGCACCTCCTGCCTGCGAGTACTCTGTGTTCTCTGTGTACTGTGTGTACTAAGTGTACTGTGTGTACTAAGTGTACTGTGTGTACTCGCGTATTGTATGCACCGGACGTCCCTAAGTGAGGTCTAGCCCTCGGGCCCCGCCTCCTCGTCCTGTTGTACAAGTACTCACCGACAGGATACAGGGTACGCGTATATCATACAAGTTAACGATGGTATCTCGAAAAGCCTTGTTGAGCCTTTTGTCTGTGACGGGAAGTGGTCTCAGCTCTAGACGCAGCTATAGAGCCTTGATGAAGCCTCTAGCATTGTGGAGGCTTCATCAACGCAAATATTGATGAGCACGGTTACCTTGCGATGATTTCAGGGCTCAACGTCTCCGCGGCCCGGTCCTCGATCAGGCCTCTTAGGGAGGGCCTTGAGAGTGCCTCTCTTGCAAAGTGGCGATGCATGCAATTGTTCTCTGGGTCAAGTAGACATTCCACAGGGTACAGAGAGGAGAGTGAGGGAGTGAGAGTGAGGGAGGAAAGAGTGAGGGAGAGAGAGTGAAGGAGGAGAAAGTGAGAGAGAGTGAAGGAGGAGAGAGTGAGGGAGTGAGGTGTGGAACACCTCACAACTTCCCTACCAGTCTGTAAGACAATATATAACCGAAGGGTTAAAAATATGTATTCTGAGGTTGGAAGAAAACGTGCTCAGATTGGGGACTTGTTTATTTTATAATGGTAAATAATAAATTAATATATAATAAATTAATATATAATAAATTAATATATAATAAATTAATATATAATAAATTAATATATAATAAATTAATATATAATAAATTAATATATAATAAATTAATTTATTATATAAATTAATAAATAATAAATTATTTTGTATTTTGTACTTTTAATAATTATTTATAAATTATTTTAAATTATATTTAAATTCGTCGACGTAGAATCAATATTAAATTAACCTGAGGATTAACGATGAATTAGCGATGATTCTATGTTACGTCATGGTCGTTTGCCCAAACTTATCACACCATATTGTTACGAGTCCAGTATGAGACCTGTCTTGTATGGCCTGCGTGCACAACACTCCCACACTGTGAGGGGTGAGGTCTCAGGGTGGCGAGGCCTCACCAGTGGGGTCCCGCAGGGTTCAGTCCTTGGACCTATACTGTTTCTGATATATGTAAATGGTTTCCCAGAGGGTATAGACTCGTTTCTCTCATTGTTTGCTGATGATGCCAAAATTATGAGGAGGATTAGGACAGAGGAAGATAGTATGAGGCTACAAGATGACCTAGACAGACTGAATGAATGGTCCAACAAATGGCTACTAAAGTTCAACCCGAGTAAATATAAGGTAATGAAACTAGGCGGTGGAAACAGGAGACACAGGATACAGAATGGGAGAAGAAGTCCTTCGTGAAACAGAGAGAAAGATCTACGAGTTGAAAACACACCAAACCTGTCTCCTGAAGCCCACATAAAAAGATAACGTCTGCGGCATATGCGAGGCTGGCTAACATCAGATCAGCCTTCAGGAACCTGTGTAAAGAATAATTCAGAACCTTGTACACCACATATGTAAGACCAATCCTGGAGTATGCAGCCCCAGCATGGAGCCCGTACCTTGTCAAGCACAAGACGAAGCTGGAAAAAGTTTAAAAGGTATGCCACTAGACTAGTCCCAGAACTAAGAGGCATGAGTTACGAGGAAAGGCTGCGGGAAATGAGCCTAACGACACTAGAAGCCAGAAGAGTAAGGGGAGACATGATCACTACCTACAAAATTCTCAGGAATTGACAGGGTAGATAAACTGTTTAACACTGGTGGTACGCAAACAAGGGAACACAGGTGGAAACCGAGTACCCACATGAGCCACAGGGACGTTAGAAAGAATTTTTTCAGTGTCAGAGTAGTTAACAAATGGGATGCATTAGGAAGTGACGTGATGGAGGCTGACTCCATACACAGTTTCAAATATAGATATGATAGAGCCCAGTAGGCTCAGGAATCTGTACACCATTTGATTGACAGTTGAGAGGCGGGACCAAAGAGACAGAGTTCAACCCCCTCAAACATAACTGGGTAAGTACAACTAGATGAGTCGACACACACTGACATTATTTGGTTGATGAGAGGAAGATGGAAAAATTTAGGAGGATCAGGAAAACAAAGATTGGTGGCGCCGACCGCTATGGAATTTCCGTGTTTAGGCTACAATTTAATCTTACCCTCGTTCCTTAAGTAACGAACGACGACAAACAAACGTTAAGGAACATATTCATAGAGCATTACTTAAGATCAAACATTATCGAGCTTCAGCTTAAGTTGTTAAACGTTATCAAACGACAGATTAAGCTGTTAAACGTTACCTAACGTCAGGGTTAAGCTGTTAAACGTTATCAAACGTCAGTTTAACGTTATCAAACGACAGTTTAAGCTGTTTAACGTTATCAAACGACAAATTAAGCTGTTTAACGTTATCAAACGACATTTTAAGCTGTTTAACGTTATCAAACGACAGTTTAAGCTGTTTAACGTTATCAAACGACAGTTTAAGCTGTTTAACGTTATCAAACGTCAGTTTAAGCTGTTTAACGTTATCAAACGACAGCTTAAGCTGTTTAACGTTATCAAACGACAGTTTAAGCTGTTTAACGTTATCAAACGTCAGTTTAAGCTGTTTAACGTTATCAAACGACAGCTTAAGCTGTTTAACGTTATCAAACGACAGCTTAAGCTGTTTAACGTTAATGTAAGTTGTAAAATACAAATTTAATGTTTCAACTTTACTCACATGTGTACCCTAAAGAGTACACATGTGTACCCTACAAGAGTATACATGTGTACCCTACAAGAGTATACATGTGTACCCTACAAGAGTATACATGTATACACGTGTCACATGTGTAGCCTATCCACGCTCTCTGTGCCCCCCCCCCCCAGGTAATTTACGATACTATTCTGTCGTGTATATTATATACTGTATATTATATAATGTACTGCATATTATATACTGTATATTATATAATGTACTGCATGTTGTATAATGCATATTATATATCGTACAATGTACATCATGCGTAAAGTATCCAGTAGGAAAAATTTCCAATAGGAAAACTTAAATTCTCTAACGGCTCGGTGTTTCTTCACATTATAAACAGATTTTGTGTGTGATTATTCTCGCACAATGTATATTATATAATGCACTGTGTAATGTATATTATGTGTTTTGGAGGCACTGTTTAATGTATATTATATAATGTTTTTTTTGGGCATTATATGATGTATATTGGGACCTGGTTTATCATAGTTTAGTCTACGATATCTTTACTCAACACTTTGGACCAATAGGAGCTGCCTCATATGGACCAATAGGAGCAGCCTCGTATGAACCAATAGGAGCTGCATTGTATGGACCAATAGGAGCTGCCTCATATGGACCAATAGGAGCAGCCTCGTATGGACCAATAGGAGCTGCCTCGTATGGTCCAATAGGAGCTGCCTCGTATGGACCAATATAGGAGCTGCCTCGTATAGACCAATATAGGAGCTGCCTCGTATGGACCAATACAGAAGCTGCCTCGTATGTACCAATAGGAGCTGCCTCATATGAACCAATAGGAGCTGCCTCGTATGGACCAATAGGAGCTGCCTCGTATGGACCAATAGGAGCTGCCTCGTATGGACCAATAGGAGCTGCCTCGTATGGACCAATAGGAGCTGCCTCGTATGGACCAATAGGAGCTGCCTCGTATGAACCAATAGGAGCTGCCTCGTATGGACCAATAGGAGCTGCCTCGTATGGACCAATACAGAAGCTGCCTCGTATGTACCAATAGGAGCTGCCTCATATGAACCAATAGGAGCTGCCTCGTATGGACCAATATAGGAGCTGCTTCGTATGGACCAATAGGAGCTGCCTCGTATGGACCAATATAAGAGCTGCCTCGTATGGACCAATATAGGAGCTGCTTCGTATGGACCAATAGGAGCTGCCTCGTATGGACCAATATAGGAGCTGCCTCGTATGGACCAATAGGAGCTGCCTCGTATGGACCAATATAGGAGCTGCCTCGTATGGACCAATATAGGAGCTGCCTCGTATGGACCAATATAGGAGCTGCCTCGTATGGACCAATATAGGAGCTGCCTCGTATGGACCAATATAGGAGCTGCTTCGTATGGACCAATAGGAGCTGCCTCGTATGGACCAATATAGGAGCTGCTTCGTATGGACCAATAGGAGCTGCCTCGTATAGACCAATATAGGAGCTGCCTCGTATGGACCAATATAGGAGCTGCTTCGTATGGACCAATAGGAGCTGCCTCGTATGGACCAATAGGAGCTGCCTCGTGTGGACCAATAGGAGCTGCCTCGTATGGACCAATAGGAGCTGCCTCGTGTGGACCAATAAGAGCTGCCTCGTGTGGACCAATAAGAGCTGCCTCGTGTGGACCAATAGCAGCTGCCTCGTGTGGACCAATAGCAGCTGCCTCGTGTGGACCAATAGCAGCTGCCTCGTATGGACCAATAGCAGCTGCCTCGTATGGACCAATAGGAGCTGCCTCGTATGGACCAATAGCAGCTGCCTCGTATGGACCAATAGGAGCTGCCTCGTATGAACCAATAGGAGCTGCCTCGTGTGGACCAATAGCAGCTGCCTCGTATGGACCAATAGCAGCTGCCTCGTATGGACCAATAGGAGTTGCCTCGTATGGACCAATAGGAGCTGCCTCGTATGGACCAATAGGAGCTGCCTCGTGTGGACCAATAGGTCTTAACGCTTATGTCCACATGTAATTCCAACATGTGCTCATATGATTTATATTTCTTTGTTGCAGAGCAGGAAAGTGGAACCCGTTGAGAGCCGGAACTGCACCACAGGTTGGCGAAGGTGTAGATCAAAGCAATGTCTATACACAAGAAGCTGTCATACAACATGCGTGCAGAGGCCAGTGATTTCAGCCTCCCCATCTGCAGCTTCAGCGACCAATCAGAGGCCCTGGAGATGAACATTGACCAACTAGTCTATCATAGCTACCTGGAGAACGTGTTCTCCGAACTAGGGATTCAGTTCAGTCCCGGAGGCACCAGTATCGTGGAGGTGGACGATGACTTGGATATCGTCGACGATAACCAGAGGGCTATCGTTGGAGAGGACCCCAGTGGGACGTCCTCAGCTGGGGACTCACTGCTCACTTACCACCACAAGGACCAACACGGAGCTTACAAAGGTATTGATCATGATTTCTTAGACTATTGGTGGTGGCACTAAGTAGGGGGAGGTGAAAATTAGGTGGGGGGGAGGAGTGACAGGTGGGAGAGGAGATGGAAGAGAAGAAAGAAGAGACAGTACGATGGGATCGAACCCGCGTCTCTGGCCTCCCAAGACACAGCACTATCAGCTCATCATGGTCTACTTTGTATTATATATGCTTGAGGAGTTCAGAGAATGGCAGGTTCGATCCCATTGTACTACCTCTATAGTTTAAATAGGAGGGTTACCCAGCTGTGGCCAGGTCTCTCTCCCTCCTTCTCTTCTCTCTCCACTTTCTCTTCTCTCTCGTTATCTTCCTATTTCCTTTTCTCCGTGTCTCCCCCTCTCTTTCCTTCCTTCTCTTCAAACCCTGTCAACCCCGTTCTTTCCTTGTCTGTGTCTCCCTGTCTGTCTGTTCTCTCTGTGTCTCCCTGTTTGTCTATGTTTTGTCTTCCTCTGTCTTGCTCTTTGCCCTAGTCGACTGTCTCTGTGCAACACTGTCTCTGTATATCTGTCTATCTCTTTTTTCTCATTCTGCGTCTGTCTGTCTATTTCTCTGCCTTTTATAAAAATAACTAGAAGTGGTCTCCGGCGTCGCCCGGGTCTCTGTCTCTACAACATTACTCATAACGCGATCAGAGCAAGTGTCATTATATTCATATAATTATATAAGAAATAAGAAATAAGAAATATTATATAAATATACTATAAGAAAAACTAGTTTTAAAATTTTAGTTTTCAGTATATTTAGCAAGGTGTAGCCGGCAAGCAGTGCCTAAACTCGTCCTGGGGATAAGAATGTGACACTAGCATGCTGTCTCCTCTTCAACTGTGTGAACCCATGTAGCCTATGACCGTCCCATACTGTAGTCCCATCACCCAGCAAAGTTTCGCGATGCTAGCCTCCAACCTGGAGCGAGCAGACAGACATTCCCTCTTAGTGGTATTAATATAATAGTTGCCATGTGGTCTGCTGGTGGGAGGAGCCTAGCAGTGGGAAAGATTAGATATATATTTAAAAGTTCCCATTGGGAAAGGTGGCGGCGCTTAAGAATGCCTTTGAAGATGTGGGAAGATTTTGTTTGTTTTATGCTAATATAGGCAAAGTATGATGATTATAATTTTTTTAATAATTTTCTTGAAATCAGTGAATAATTGTTCAATTTATATTTTTAAAATATTTAGTCAGGCGAGGCTGGCGGCCAGGCAAAAATGAGTCTTTTGAGTTCAGCGTGTGACTAGTACACTGCCCTAGTTTAATTCTGGCAACCCCAACTAGCCTATATCATTCCCATATCCCAAACCATTTTCTCTGCAACGTTGGGTGAGGCTAGACCGTCATGAAACAGGCCAGTTGTGACAGCAGTCCTGCTCAGTACGAGAAGAATGCCAGGTCTGGACAAACCGCTCTTGGTAGATTGGTCGCTGGAGCGAGGCTACGTCCCTAGGATTATGCCTGAAAGCCTCATGGGCGGAATACGGGCTGGAGAAGGAACAGCATCATGTGTTGTTGCTGGCATTGTGGTGGCGAACAAGAAACGATCTCACTCTAGGAGACTTTTGGCTCCGAGGGTCAGACGCGTCGCGCCAGAGTTGATGACTATTAAAGTGTTTTCCTTGTGAGAATGTTGACCTTAATCAGCATATGTACCCATGACTGAGAGGCCGTACATGTGCGGGGTTGGGCTTTGGCTCCTTGGTCCTGCCTCTCAACAGTTAATCAAATGGTGTGCAGATTCCTGAGCCTACTGGACTCTGTCATATCTACACTTGAAACTGTGTATGGAGTCAGCCTCCACCACATCACAGCCTAATGCATTCCACCTGTTAACTACTCTGATACTAAAAAGTTCTTTCTAGTGTCTCTATGCTCATCTGGGCACTCAATTTCCATCTGTGTCCCCTAGTGCGTATGCCTCCTGTGTTAAATAATCTGTCTTTATATAACCTATCAATTCATTTGAGAATTTTGTATGTAGTGATCATGTCTCCCCTAACTCTTCTGTCTTCCATCGACGAGAGGACTGGTTCCCGTAGTCTCTTCTCGTAGCTCATACCCCTCACCTCAGGTACTAGTCTGATGACAAACCTCTGAACCTTCTCCAATTTAGTCTTGTGCTTGACAAAATATGGACTCCATGCTGGGGTTGCATACTCCATGACTGGTCTGACATTTGTGGTATACAAGGTTCTGAATGATTCCTTACACAAGTTTTTAAATGCAGTTCTTATGTTAGCCAGCCTGGCATATGCCGCTGATCTTATCCTCTTGATGTGGACTTCAGGGGACAGGTCTAGCGTGATATCAACCCCCAGGGCTTTCTCTGATTCTTGAATTTTATCTCCCAAATGATACCTTGTATCTGGTCTCATGCTCCCTACACCTATCTTCATTACATTACATTTGCTAGGGTTAAACTCTAATAACCATTTGTTGGACCATTCCTTCAGTTTGTCCAGGTCTTCTTGAAGCCTCAAGCTGTCCTCCTCTGTCTTAATCCTTCTCATAATTTTGGCGTCGTCAGCAAACATTGAGAGGAATGAGTCTATACCCTCTGGGAGATCATTTACGTATATCAGAGACAGGATAGGTCCGAGTACAGAGCCCTGTGGGACTCCACTGGTGGCTTCACGCCAGTCTGAGGTCTCACCCCTCACTGTAACTCTCTGCTTCCTATTGCTTAGGTACTCCCTTATCCACTGGAGCGCCCTACCAGTTACTCCTGCCTGTTTCTCCAGCTTATGCATCAACCTTTTATGGGGTACTGTGTCAAAGGCTTTCCGACAGTCCAAAAAAATGCAGTCTGCCCATCCTTCTCTTTCTTGCTTAATCTTTGTCACCTGATCGTAGAATTCTGTCAAGCCTGTAAGGCAAGATTTACCCTCCCTGAACTCATGTTGATGGGTTGTCACGAAGTCTCTTCTCTCCAGATGTGTTACTAGTTTTTTTTCTCACAATCTTCTCCGTCACCTTGCATGGTATACAAGTTAAGGACACTGGCCTGTAGTTCAGTGCCTCTTGTCTGTCACCCTTTTTGTATATTGGGACCACATTCGCCGTCTTCCATATTTCTGGCAGGTCTCCCGTTTCCAGTGACTTACTATACACTATGGAGAGTGGCAAGCAAAGTGCTCCTGCACACTCTTTCAGTACCCATGGTGAGATTCCGTCCGGCCCAACAGCTTTTCTCACGTCCGGCTCCAATAGGCGCTTCTTGACCTCATCTCTTGTAATTTCGAACGTTTCCAAAGTCACCTGGTTTGCTGCCACCTCTCCTAGCGCTTTGACTCTCCTGCCCATCGTTTCTCGCCGGCGCCCGGGATCGAACCCGGGACCACAGGATCACGTGTCCAGCATGCTGTCCGCTCGGCCGGCCGGCTCCCACTGTGTGTGAGTGAGTGTGTGTGTTTATGAACGTGTTGTGCTGAGGCAGTAACAATGGCGGTGATCATGACATGACACACGTGTAGAGGTTGCATCATGCCTCTCCAACACCCGCCACGTGTGTCAGCTGACTTCTTGCACCATAACATGACAGATCCGTCACTCACCGTCACGAGAGCGACCATGACAGACCTCTCTCCCCACCCCACAACACCCCCCCCACCATACAGTAACCCCACAACACCCCTCCCACCATACAGTAACCCTACAACACCCCCCACCATACAGTATACTCCCCCCACCATACAGTAACCCCACAACACCCCTCCCACCATACAGTAACCCCACAACACCCCTCCCACCATACAGTAACCCCACAACACCCCTCCCACCATACAGTAACCCCACAACACCCCCCCCCCCACCATACAGTAACCCCACATCCCCCCACCATACAGTAACCCCCCCCACCATACAGTAACCCCACAACACCCCTCCACCATACAGTAACCCCACAACACACCCCCCACCATACAGTAACCCCACAACACCCCCCCCCCCCCATCATCCAATAACCCCACAGACCAACCTCCAACACCAGTGGTGTAGAGAAGATAGCTGCTAACTACACCACACAAACATAGATGGGATCACAAATAAAGCAAGTGAACTTGGGGAAGGATCGCAAGATAACCCAGATGTAATAGCACTCACCGAGATGAAACTGTCAGGTGTTATAACAAATGCAGTGTTTCCCACGACTACATTGTAATAAAGGAAGGAAGAGAAGTTTATTACATAAAATAAAAGAGGAGTTTATTTTATAAAATAAAAAAGTGTATTTTTATAGAAATAAAGGCCTGTTATTCTACAGTCAATTGATAATTACGACCGTGTTATTAAAATAGGGATAGAGTTGCTCATGACGGCTCTGGTATCAGTGACTCCTATACGTATGGTGTATGAAAACTAGAGCATATCATATATTAGTCACTAACAGGGGTTCGTAGAATTCCTAGTGACATTGTAGATATGATAAGCGTAGATATAACGATAGTAGATATAATAATGGACGAACTAATAGAGGCAATGATCTAATAGACACATACCTCTTTACCTGTACACACCATCAATTACCTAACATACACCATAGAACCACTAACTCCTCAACTCCCCACACAAACAAACACATATACCCAACCCGTCCTCTTGAATCATACATCGCATTTTGATTTCATAATTCCCAACGGTCAAAATATGATGCAACAGAGAGGCTCACAAACAACCACGTTTTCTTTGCGTGGTTCCACCAGTTAGGGATTGCTTAGGTAAATGTTTGTATATTTATGTGAATCACCATATATAAAGTTACTAACGCCGTGCCTGTAATAGGATTAATGGATAAAATAGGCATGCATATGCCTCATTAGGCTCTCTCTCTCTCTCTCTCTCACCTAAAATTAGCTTCTTAGCCACAATAACTATGATATTGTCATATACTAATGACAAGTCAATGTACATTAACGTGAATAAAAGTATTACATTGTTAGTCAGTAATAAATTAAATATACACATATACAAAATATTCGATG